ATTCTTTGTTTTTGTTTTGTTTTTTACTTAAAACACTGGTTGCAGAGCACATAATCTTAAATATGCCCAATTAACAAAAACGTAAATATTTTTCAAACAGTACTGCGGTGGCAAAAGATTGTATTTCTAATTTGGGAATCACCAGCTGCGATAATGCCGAGCTATAGTGCTTAACGGCTCACGCGAAAGAGGAGAATGAAATTTGGGCCATGTTAACTGCATTTCAGACTAGGGTGAAACTCCTTGAAGCCCGTGTCATGTATAGGTGTACGATATACATTATAAGATGGTGGGAGTTTCGGGAGCCCTTTTCTACGGCGTTCTCCGACGTTATAACGAGGTTTTATGATGTAAACCCCGACATTTAGGAGAAGCGACTTCTGAATAAATCACACCAAGTTCAAAGGTTGCATTTTATTTACGCAGAATAAATGGGATGAAAAGTAATGAACCTCATTTATTAAAACATTTTTATTGTTATTTCTTGATAAATTTGAAAAAGTAAAGCACACTTTGTCCGGGTAAACCTCATAAAATGTTCGGAGGTCTAAGAATATTTGAAAAGTGCATCTGTCCGCTTAGCCTCAAAGCTAGTGTATGTATATTTTGTGAAAGTGTGATGGAGCGCATCAGGTTAGTACAGCTTCACACCAATAATTTCTTATTTGAACACTACATTATTACGGTTTTTAGTCAATTGTAGCAGTTCTTTTTTTTCAAATCTTCACAAATTTAGGCGACAATTTGTATAAATATAGGATGACTGCCAGTTGTGCATGGACATGTTACTACTTTTTGGCGTTTGTTTCATAATGAATGTATAAATGTGGCATGTAGCAGGCTTATCCGGTGATGCGCGTAATTTATGAAAACAGGAAGTGATTCGTGCAACACGAAAACTCCCTGAGATTCAGAACTTTTATATATGATTTCATGAGGGACGCTGTAGCTCGAACTGCGGAATAAATTGAGCAAGCTCAGTTCTGTAACAGCCCCTAAACCGATATATTCTTGTACTTCTCTCGCTTCTACCTCTTTATAATTAAGATTTCGGGGCGGACAGTAAAGCTGGTGTCTTCTGTCTTATCAGTTCAATGCTTTTACTACCATGTTGGCAATGTGACCTGGCAACGAAAAATCGAAAGCAGTTCACAAATATATGTGGGGCTCCCAGTCTTATTTCAACGATGCTTCATTTTTTAAAGCTGAGGTTGAATTGTTTAAAGCGTTCGGAATTTGGTAGAAAACATGCGCGAAAGCAGGCTGCAGAAAGAAGAGCCCTTGGATTGGTTTACTGGGTACCGTGATTGTTGCGAAGAGTACTGAGAAACGTAAAAAAAACATAATGCACTTTCTCTGTACCCCATCCACAAAGTGGTATAGACTAAAGTTCTATACAAACATTAAGGGACTGTACATGGAGCAGCGTGAAGAATAAAGCTACGTTTTCTTTGCTTTCCAAAATATTTTTCTTAAGAGAGCTACTTTCGGTGGCGAGTAGCGTTGGTGTGCACGTGATGGCGTTGTTTTTTTCTGTATTTAGCTTTTGCGGGTTTTCTTTTGTAAGCCAAAAAGTCATGCACGCCTTTTGTATTTCGCTCCAGAAGTGACAGTTGGATTGATAATGTGTGTGAGTACAGTTCTTTCATCGCCTTTTTGTTGATTTCGGTAACATGGGTGAAAAAGATATGCATATCTTTAAAAGAAACTCATTTATTCTAATCAACTGCGGCTTACCCAAGGATTGTTGTTACGATGAGCTCTGGCGCGAATGCGATGTCCATCGCCGTATTGAAAAGCGATATTGTATATGACATTTTGGTTATGTCGGAGTTGTCCGGATACCACAGCTAGGATGTTATTTCCGGCTTCCCTGCGCAAGCATGCCGCCCAATCTTGCGCGTGCTACCGTAAGTGCCCATGCTTGTAGGGCGTCTAGAGCAATGTCCGGATAGTTCTGTTTGGGGCAGCCTAGTGAACAGCGCTGAGAACTTCGCCAGTTTCAAGCATGTTCATTTTACTTTTATGGTTTTCAAAGTTTAGGGCTTTTAAACATAAAAGAGCGTTTCACACAGCAGTTCCGGTGTTGGCTTCGGTGTCAAGGTTTGTGATCTAAATATCATAGTTGTACGTCAGCGAAAGTTAGACAATACAACAATATACTTTACCTTTATACTCTATTACGCATGGCTTTGCATTACTATAATAACTATTTTTTATCCTATACCATGTGCATTTGCATCCGTCAATTTCCGTTTCTGTATAGATGACGGTAACGCATAGCAAACTCATGTACTTATAGCCATCCAAAAAAAAATGGCCGCATTTCCGCATGCATGGCCGCAAATGTCGCCGAAAGGCCTTAGTCTCCTGCCAGCCATACCTAATGGCTGGCAGGAGATTGTCCTGGGTCAGGTCTTGTGGGTTGGGTTGTATTTCATCAAGTAGTCATTTATGTTTGCCTTGCATCGGACAGCACCTCCTCTATGTCGAATTGGCCGCATCCGGCTGTCATTAATAATATAGCGCAAGCACTGCCTAAGATATGATCTGCATCTGACATGGGTGTTGGTAAACAGGAAAGCGTGTAGAACACTGCCAGGTCACACAATCATATCGTCGCCAGGGGAAACTTTGTGCATAGCGTCGCATTTTTAGAGCAGCCTAAGAAACACTAGGGTCTTTAAAATGTCATATCCATCTAGTTTATAATAAAGAAACACGCCACCGCATACTTACGTATTGATGTTGCACATCAGATATGCGTAATTTTTGCTTTATGTTGAACAATGCTTACAACGCAATCAACAGTTCAATATGAGTGGATGCCCAGCAAGTGCTTTAATTTTGGCTGAGTGCCTGAATTATGTGACAGACAGACAGACAGACAGACAGACTGACGGACAGACAGACAGACAGACAGACAGACCGACAGACAGACAGACAGACCAAAGTTCTGCATTCAAGTATCCCAAGAAAGACTATCGTTTAATATATCATTTTCCAGCGTGGCACCATACATGTCTATGATATGCCTTACCCCCTACACTTCTCCTCACCCTTCCTTCTCTTTCCTTGCGGCCTTACTATACGATAAAATAAATAACAATATCCTGTAAATTAAATAACAATATCCTGCATGGTATTACTCGTGTGAAGCCATACGTGACTACGTATGGGGAGAAAGAGAAATTGAAGACCCCTGTTGACTCTCAACTTGCTTGGACCCTTGCCGCTGTAGTTCCACGTGAAAGAGAAATGCGAGATCTCTGTTGACACTCAACCTGCTTGGGCCCTACAGCTTTAGTTGCTATCTTTTGGTCACGACACGTTATTCACTGTGAACAGGTGTCAAATAGGCGCTTTATTAGACGCTCGCAGCTGTAGTGCCACGTAAAAATCGATTGTTTAATGGTTGTTTCGACAGTGCTCGGTCAACCAGCCAGACGTGCAGTCATCTTCGGCCCATGCAGCAGAAGCAGGTACGTGTCTTTTTAAATAACGAAAATTGCTTAAGAATAACAGTGCAAAAAACTTACCATGTCGGTCACATTAAATTTATGAGCCACTTGGTGGATTCCGTGCTTAACGGTCGTGTCGTCCACTATCTGAGACACCAGCGTAGCTCTAGCCAATAGGTGCCCCGTCCTCATACTCCTTCGACCAAGTCCCTGTCTTTTTTCTTTTCTCTATCTTCACTAGTCACTCTATACCTTTTAATCCGTCCTTATCCCATTCTCTCGTGACCTACTGCTGAGGTGTCGCACTTAGCTGCACACAGTTGCGGAACTCAGTTTTCTCTTCTCATCTCTTACAAAACCACTTCCCACCGTTCAAATTTAGAATGAGGAGTGACATCAAACATATAGTTAAACTGTATCATGCACCATGAGTATAATTTTTAATGCCCACTGCTACCCTCAAATCACGTTATATTGGCCTAAAGACATGAAAGATTGACGCCCTCGCACCAGTCGTTTTTTTTTCTCTCGCCTTTCGAGGGCATTCTCCGAGGCCAATTTTTTGATACCTGAAGAGGACAATAGATTAACTGCGCGAAAAAAGACAAAATACAAAAGGAACACCAGCGTTTTTGTCTTTTTGAGCTGGTAAGCTTGCCTTAATCATAAACCAACTTGCCCAAGCAGCAGTTTTACTCAAGGGGAGGACACTAAATTTCCAACCAAGTCAGAGACTGACATCGACACACTACAATAGCATTACCTGTCCGCAACAGCTTGTACAAGGCTACGAACAACTACATGGTACGTAACATAGGTCTCAGTTGCATTGCAATGCTAGAGTTTGGTGACGAAACATCATCTGTGACGACTGTTATAATTCTGGATGGTTAGATATTCGGTATACTTTGATAAAGAGAATTCCTTGTGCTTAGCCATGACAAAGGTTGGTAGCACATCACGTAAAACTAGCACTTCGAGAAGACAGACAATAGCTAAAAGTTTTAATTTTCTTGCAGGAAGTAGAGCGGATCTCTACATGTACATGGTTTTCTTTAATGATTGCATATTTATATTTCAAGGTTTCCGTCAAACTACATCACTAATGTCTATTTAACAAACCACTTCGTTTTCTCCAATAAATAGCAGTTGAAATTTCACTATTGTGTGTATTTTCACCGACGTCTTTTTTTGTGTGGTGCGCAAGTAACCTTTATCACGAACTGCTTCGCACTAGCCCGAAACAGTACGTAAAATGTATCAACATATTTGAACATATCATAAGTAGTGAAGAAAACATTACCTTTGATGCCTTCATCTTTCAGGGTCGTTATGTAGCACAATGTTCTGGACTAGGCCTGTTTCTGAACGAGTGAAGACTGTGGATGTTTCTCAATGTGAATGCATTATGCCTACTCGGCATAATATTCAAGACTTCAACGAACTGCTCACAAGCTTCTAGCAGTGGGTTGATTTTTTTTGTTTCATAAAGCCTTTTTGCTACTTGAGGCTCATCTTTCCAGCAGTTTGTCATGCAAATTCATAATAAGAAGCTTTATTTGTTTGTACAATTGAAAACACATCATACGCTCTTTTTTTCTTCTAAAGGGCACATGAAAACAATAGAGACCCATATGTGTAACATGTTCGGTTAATTGTGAAATGTTGGGGCTGCAAGAAAGGATGTGTTTTATTGATGATTTTCACAGCTCCATGCAGATCGCTAACAGTAATGAGCTAAATAAGGAAGTATTGATTTGATGTCGGTGTTAATGTGTCACAATGAGATGGCATTCTTAGTTACACCATTATTTTGTATTTGGATTTTGTAACGGCAAAATCTTGAATGGCCAATGATATCACTATTACCAACGAGTACTGTACAAATCTAGCACATAGCCAAGATATGGCGACAAAATAAGAATCAATAGAGGAACTTCGAGAAAATCCTCTTTGTAGAGAGTTTCTCAATTGATTAAAGGAAACCAACACTTCCTTGAAACAAAATCTACAAAATAAAGATAACCGAAATGCACTTCAAAAATTAAATGGCTTCTTTAAACATGTTACTTCATCGAAGGACACGGGAGCGTTAACTGGTTTCAAGTGTGATGGAAAATATTGCGATGTGTGTATGATACAAATCAATGGCATTCGGTTTACAACAGTTCTTTCAGACTAACTAAATGAAAGAAGCTTGCGCTTACTGAGCATGAGTTGTGTCCCGAATCGTACGTTCACTTCTTTTCACCGAAGTCCGTCAGCAAAAATCAAGAAAAATCAGATAGATGCATACGGGCCTGAGATCCATCGCTTATGTCATTGTCGTAACTATGTCTTGAGGTGTAACATAATAATTTGAAAATCCTAAACTTCAATCCACGCGACTGGTCTTATTCATTTGAACAAGGTTGTCCAAATCCTTCACACACTACAAACGAAAAAAGTGTTTACCACTCGTGACCCCTGAGATTCTCTAGAATGTGCGTCGAACAAAAAAAATATTGATGGTGGCAGAATATTGGGCTCGACTCTTTTCTTTTATAATCCCACATCGCGAGCTCTAGGAACAGTCCAAAAGGGGTGGCCAGCAGTCATGTCCTTACACATGTTTTGTAGATTTGTGGGCGTAGTGCGTCTGTGAGCGCCACGTGGAACGTATTGTGAGCACTGGTACAAAATTATTCATCATACTTTGCTGGATCGGCACCCAAGTGTTTGCTAAAGTGAAAAAAAAAGAATAAAAAGAACGAATTTAACGGGCTTGTTGTCTAGCGTCATAGGACGCCTTTGTGGCTACAGCTGCCGCTACCATTATGCAGCTGACTCACTCAAAGGGACGAAAAGCAAAGAATGGCCAACAAGTCTTGTCAGAAACCAACGCACAGACCACAGAAGCGGCAATGACAAATAATTAGGTCGAAACGGAAAAATACGCCGTCAGTAAACATTACGGGCAACGCCGTAAGGAAGCATTCAGTAGCACAACCGAAGGCCTGTCACAACGGCTCGTTAGAGGCCACCGTCTTCTCTCGTTAGCCTCGGAAAGACCACGCAGCGCCACCCGCCGGCTAACACGCGCGTCAGTCAGCCGAGCCAAACAGAAAGAACCCACTGCGCACCGTATCCGCGAGACACGTTGAACGGTATTCGCACAGAAACACACACGCACACACAGGCACACAAAAGACGTCTGAGCCAGCGCCATTCCAAGAGCGACGCTATGAACTCCTCGTACGCAGATTCGCCGTGGTGGTTGGTGGTTGTCGAGAAGGATGAAGTGTAGTGGACAAGAGGAACAAAAATATGAACGTTGCTCCTTTCTCCACAGTAACAATGTCTTTGTGTTTTTTTTTCTCGTAGAGTCGTTTTTTTTTTGCTTTCTCGAAGTGAAGAACATAGGTTGGTTGGGGCGTGAGTCCTATTCCAGTGACTCACCACCCTCCCCGCACCGATGACGCGGGCTAGCCAAAGGGGGAGTGTCCGGCCGAGTCCGTCAGTCGGTTATTGTCCCTAGGGGCCACTGGTATCCAGTGCAACTCCTCGCCACAGTTCACGCCCGGAAGGCCACCGCGCCACCACCACCGATGCTAGACCGTTGTCTCTTCCCTCCGGTCCCGGAAACTTCTGTTCATAGAATTGAAAGAAAGACAAACGCCACAAAGATGAAGAATAAAAAAACTGGAGGCTGCAGCAGTGCGCAACATTTATTCCCTCTTTAATTATGCTTTCTGGGTGTTTATGGTGCTCGCAAGTTTGCACCCTTTTTAGGTTATCGAAATATTTGCATCAAACGTTTCTCTTTACGTGAGCACGAAACCAAAGCGCTCGTCAGGTCAAGTGAACCATGAGAGCAAAAGAAAAGAGAGCCATGAAAGAAAGTGAGAGAGTAAAAACTTTACGTTCATATCTATGTATATTTATGGGCAGTTTTGTGATTAGGTGACCACAAGCCTATTGGCACAGCCGGCATCTTCTAATCTTTGCATAACCCTGCAACTCTGGTCAGGGTCAGAGCTGCACAGCACAGCTTCCCCCTGGCCTGTGTTAACTTCCTGAGTCTTACGGTCTATTGCTGGGCATCACCTGTTAATGTGAAATAAATGTGACTCTTTCTTGCACTGCTTAAATTCGCTTCAATATTGGTCTGTATGTAGTAGTGAAAGAATACAGGACTGCGGTGCATATTCATCTTGAGTTGCTTTGAGCTACTTCTTAGGTCTTCTTAAGGTATCCGCATGTTAACTTGTGCGCTCCCCAGTTGAAGCTTCATAGTGATGTGTCATTCCTTGGCCGCTAACCATGTAATTTATCTCTGACGCTACCACGAACATTTTTTAGTTGCTTCGTACGAGTAGAGTATCTCGTTACGTGCGACTATGGCAGTTTTTTTGTTCCTCACTTTCTTTGCATTTCGTCAGTCAGCTGCTTCTCATATAGTTTGAAGGTGTGAAGAGACACCGATATTTATTCGAAAGTTGTTCTAACACACTTTAGTGCAATCGCTTTTCATTGTGCTAAAAAAACTGTTTCACCAAGCTGTTGCCTATTTGCGGCAGTAGTGAAATAGATGGACTAGAAGCACTAGAGTCTGGAAGCTGGCTAATCTGAAAGAGAGTAATGGTCCTTAAAAAAATTGTAAAGGCAGAGACTCAGCTCGATAATAAAACCTGATTTAGCGCCTTCTCTACGACTCAAATGTTCTCTCCCGCGACAAAACCTTGGAGGATCAATGTTCGCTGTTCAATTTCCACGTGCGTGCCCAAGTAATCAGTTGCAAAAATAATTTGTTCTATTGAATATCTTAGAAATTCTCGCTCTGATTGTTAGCGATGTCGTTTCCGAGAGCAAGAAATAAAGAAAATGAGCAACCGCACATTGTTATGACGTTCCAAAACGCACATACCTAGCGCATGGCATTCTCGTGTTTTCTAAGGCATTATTCTAGTCACGATAGCTATGTGTAAGCGAGAATAACCAGCTTCCGCTTTGTCGTTAAATCTATCATGCACTGAAAAAATATATGTAAGTGTTGTTCGTTTTTTGCCTGTATGAAGCATCACGTGAAAGTTCGCGAAGGTCATCACACTTTAAATGTGCCCAGGAATATCTGTACCTTGCTACATACATACATTTCTGCGGAACAACAGAGTCATGCAACCTATAGGATAATAATAGAAACGAGAAGAAAGGATTTCAGGGATGTTAGCCAGAAGCTAACCTCCCTGCTTTTTTTGCCGCTGAGTATGCTTTAATACTATAAATGTAGTAAATTAATCCCAGCAGCACCGATACCACTCGCACCGCATATGAGAAGCATTACAAGAATGGATATTGAAACATTGTTTTCCTGACGCAGAACGAAAGAAAAAAATGCCCTACCTCCCTGAAGGCAATCGTGAGGAAATGCGAATGCATTTCTTGCGCCGAGACAGGGCACCGTTGGCGTCAGACTTTCGCTTTCACTGACTTCTGCCATCGTCTCGAGAGCGGCCCAGCCAGTGAACGGTCAAAGTGAGGAGCGAGCGGACGAAAGAGGGGGGCACCGGCGTTCTCGTCTCTGCTTTGGCGTTTCACAGTGGCGTCTCGAGCACACATTTCCGAATGTTCTGAGAGGCGCCAAGCTAGCCATCGGTTGGGAGTGAGGCGCGAGTGGACGGGAAGGAAGAGCGCAGGGAGTAGAGAGAGCGAATGGCGAGAGAAGGAGCGGCGAAGCCATAGAGGAAAGGAAAAAAAACTTAGGAGAGGCTCCGACGTCACTCGTTGTGAAGCTATCGTGAAGCCGGAAGTCGGCCTTATTGACTGGACAAATTCTCTTCTCTTGTTTACATCCGAATGTAAAGCAGAAGGCGCGACTCTCTCTCCAGCACGGAAAGCACATGAGATGCGCAGCGCGCTTGTCGTGGCGATCTGAAACCAATGGAACGGGGCTCAACACTCTGAGCCAGCGCGACACCTTCGGCGAAATCATTTTGTCCGAGTATTAACAGCGAGTAACAGCTCACCGACAACGAAGCAAGTACAAGAGAACGCGCGCTAGATGCACTGACAACGGCGCGTGTTTTTACGTCATTAATTCAACAACTGTACACACAACACGATCGGTCGTGCGCCTTCTTCTACGGTTGCATTCCGACACAAGGCCGACGCAGCACCTGGCCACTGGGCCAGTGTTCCGCGTGAAACTCACCGGTGTCAGCATGCGAACGTGGTGATTTTGAGCACGGTGCAAGACTTGAATGCGGCTTCTCTAACGTTGAATTACAATGCTGGGGGCGAGTATAACAAGCGGAACAGAAAAGGTGTTTTATTACGCACATACAAGTTGTTGCTGTACACATACCGAACACGAAACTACGTATGTGCACATGGTCCTCATTGCATCTTGCTGGGCACAACAGTTTCTTCTGTTGCCACAAGCAGGAGCACTGCCCAATCGTCACTGACCTGCAAGGCGTTCGTCGTCGTTCCGCTTCGTCATGGTGCCCAACGCAATTTCACTGAACACTTCAAATGCTTCATCCGCGTCATCCGCCGCACGACACATGGACATGCGCTCGTTCTACGCACTGTACAGGCCCCGTGGTAGACGAAAGGTTTTGTAAACGTTTCTAAGAGTGCAGTAACTGCCAGGAGAACACTGCATCACCAATAACGCGGCGCAGAGCACGGATATTGTCCGCCACGGCTCAGCACGAGACTTGCGGAGGCACACATGCAGCCGCCAGCCGCAGCCGTTCACGGCTAGACCAGCTACACTGCGCAACACGTAACCATAGCAACGCCGCCATTGTGCCTAGTGAATATGACCGCTATGATGTCATTTCCTCCAAACATTTCACGTAGCGCGCAGGCTGAGCATGCCCTCTCCTATCTTTCCTTCCTCCGTGGGCGAAGCACTGCACCTACCCTCTCTAACACTCTCTCGCTCCACATGCTCCTGTTGCTAGGGGCTAAGAAAAGCGTGCGCGCCCGTAGCTGTTGCAATGGGAGAGGAAGTGAGAGCAAAGAGATAACAGCTGCCGGCACTGATGCCTGACATAGCCCGACTAAGAAATGTATTTATTTATTTAGTAAATACTGCCGGCTTCTATGCGAAGTCGTAGGCAGAAGTGGGTAGATATATATGCATTTGATATTACATTTTGCTATGCAAGAAAACAATTGCAATGACTTATAACAAAAACAATGTGTCTAGGGGAAAAATCTAGAAACGTTCTAAGGTAGAAACATCGAAAACATAAGTCCATGTAACACGTATTGAACATTTTCGACAGAATGAGCAAGTTTTGCCTAAGAAGAAGGCATGAGTGACTGATACAGCAAAACAATGGGCAAAAATGAACAAAATGACGAATTGACACAATGAGCAAAAGGTAAAAGTGCGCACAAAGTAACATACAAATGAGGTATGAGGTAGCGCTTAACATACCAAAGCAATACAACTCAATACACAGAACAATCTAGATGCAGTGCCAATACTAATATTATAATAACGACAACAAAACAATCAATGAATGAAGGCCGATTCGCTATCGCATTCATGGACGATGAACAGTTGTAAATGATGCAACTTCATCGGGCAGTGCGTTTCAACTACGTGCTGTTCGAAGAAATAATGGTTTTTGGAAAGTAGTTGTTTTACATGAAAATTCTTGAACTTTCTTGCAATGGTGCGACCATGTTATTTGCAATTTCGATGGTTGGATATATTTCGCTCATCAATTTTCAGGTTAAAAAACCTTTTTTTAAACTATGAACAATTTTTAATGCATTCGCATTTAAGAAAAGGCCCATAGGGTTTTACCTCCGCTTTTCCAATTGTGTTCTTTTTGTTTGTGTGAGTTGCGGGGTCTGAAGTTGAGAACACCACGCTCTTGAAGTGATTGATCACAGTAGACATGGTCGGAACGCACCAGAACAACCCACATTTATTTAACTGCTTTAGATCGACGATATCGCCAGCCGAATTATTATGACATCAATTGTGATCCACACGGTAGAACAACCTTACAGAATATTAAACAACACTCAACATGACAAACACAAGGCGGCGTCGTCAGCGCCTGACTCACCACCACGGCCCACAGCAGACAAGCCGCTGTGCCGTCCACTGCGGACCGCTGCAGTGGACGGTCACCCGCCACCCGCAAAAAGAGCCGCTCGTTTCGCCAGTGCTGCTACCGAGGCTTACCGCTAGGCGTCACTGCCGGCGCCACCGTTCTAACAGTGATGATGATGGTGGTGGTGATGAACGCTCGCGAGCACAACACCCCCTACCACTCGATAGTTGTCACCCCTGAATGCGGCTTATGCACGAGACACGTGCGCCATCAGGCGCAAACAACTTAACAAGGGATTGTCAGCACTCCTAACAGGGTGGGCCATCGTAAACTTCTCGCAGGAACGCATGCCTACAGACGACAACATGGGTCGCATCACATTTCTTTTCTCCGGTGCATTTCTTCCCACCGACTACGGTTGTGACGCTGTTTTTAATTGCTGCATTCCATGAAGTATGTTTAACAATGCGCGGCCACTCATGGCGACAAATTGTGGCACGGGCTACAAAAAAAGAGAAAAAAATGCCAGGCCCGCGCGGAAGGTACAGCATTGTCACAGCGAAAGCTAGAAGAGCGATTTTTCAGAGCCTGTTCTAAACACTCATTGGGTAACTGCCGCAAGCACACTTGCTTGATACTCATACTGCATTAATAATAATTTTTGGGGGTAGTAGGCCGGCATTCACAGTGCTAGTTTTCGTCATTTTTATGAGAAGCGTGGTATCCGCTAAACACTTGCAAAGAATTTTGTGTTAAGTGTTCATGCAGTGACTGATGACGATGAGGAATTATGCCTGAAGTGGGTATGCACCACAGTTATTATGTGAACAGGAACAAGCTTTCGTAATGGTCGCAGCATTGGACGACCCACTCGTTACGCTATTCGCATTGTGCGATAACTGGTTGTTTTTTCACAGTTTTAAAACGCTTTATAAATCGTATTAACGCGATTGGTTTACCGACATTCAAGCCTGCCTAAGGCAAGTTTGCCAACAAGTCCCAAGCACCTGCGTGGCTCAGTGGTAAAATACTGGGCTTGCACCCAGCGAACCAGGGTTCGAGCCCCACTTTGTCCTTTGTACTTGGTTATGTTTTTCTAATTTCGTGCGAAACGGTTACGGACACTGGTGGCGGCGGCAGCTGCGGCGGAGAACTACGGCGCCGCGCGTGACCCGAGTTGTGATCTCATACCAGCTTTCGATGTAAAACGATACTCCAAGCAGCAAGCAGGTGGTTTAGACTAATCATGAGCAACGGAATGAGGAGGGTGGAGGTATTTTGGTCAATACATAAAAATGAAGTGATTCTCTTTGGTAAATGTGAAGTGGGCGAAGGACGCAACTTAGTTTTGCGCCCGCGCTGGTGTCTAGCAAAACGGGAGCTAGGAGACTAGCCCTACCAGAGCTCTTCTGCCTCACGTGGTGCCATGCCTTTAATCTCGGTGACCAGCCTTACAGCTCGTAACTAGTCCCTGGTTGCGCCATTGCCGTAGCTCCGCACACCAATAAAAGTTGAACCAGCCTTGCATTTGTAGTTCGGATACCTGGGCAAGGCGAGTAAATTTCACAACAACGCATTCTGGCCACTCATGCCTGATTTGCAAGTGGTAACTGAATTACCGGTTATTTTGCTTTTCGAAACTTACTGTCACTTCGCGTCTAAGAAGTTAGTGAGAATGCATCCCATTAACTTGAGCGTAAGAACATCATTAGCAATAATGACTAATAACAATAGCTATTATTATACACCAACGGGTTATTTGGCTGAACTTGAATAGCCATTTTGAACAATAATTTCGAGATAGAAGTTGCATTGTAGAAACGTCGTAAATAACCGTTTAGGTGGAAACAAATTAGAAGAATGTTTGTGTTGTAATGGCTGCTGTTAATCCTATAAAACTTTTAATAACACTTGTACCTTGATGAAGCTTGCGATGTAGACTGTTTTGTCTTGATTTGCACTTAGTCTATAACAAACTAATCACTAACAGGGGTCTGCACCTGCGAAAGTGAGGCCATGGAATCTTTAAGGAATTTCGTATGTAAATGAGACTATATTGTTGTTGAAACAATAAGATACAAAGTATACTGTTTGTTTAATAGCAAAACAGTATTTTTTGCATTATAGTAAGCACATAGCCTTATATACTGCCTACGAGTTTGACCACATTACGAAAAGAGCCGCCTACAGGGACTTGCTAGAAAGCTACTTATGTGCAAGTGAAGCCGCCAGGTTTTATTGCTGCAGATCAACCATCCATTCGTAAAATCTTGCGCTAGGATTTGTGCACTGGTGAATGTTTCAAGTATAACAAAGCACTCGTCAAATGGAACAAAACAAAAGGTTGATGCTAAACTACTACTGAAACTTCTCAAAAGTCATGAATAAAATGTTTAAGAAGAAATCGACTTTTTCTATCAGTGAAAGTAGTGTTCTTTTACAGCATAAAATTTGTATTTTAGAGAAAATGGAAAAATTTGATAAGTATGTTGGACAAAATTTCTGAAAATTTAGAAAAAAAATACATATTATGAACATGTTTACTTTTAGAACCACACGCCTGCATCAAACTAAATCATTTTTGTTATCTATTCCACAAAAGCTAATAGTAATTCTGCGCAAAGTTTTTTCATCTCCTTTCCGATGAATATTCTCAGTTGGGCAGGCTCGGTGAATGAAACGTTTACGGGAAAGGGCACGCACAAAACAGACAGCGTAAGCGATGAAATGGAAGGTGAGTCTACGTACTCACACGCACAGCTCCTGTGTGTTGTGGCCCGAGACCTGTTGTGTCTGTTGTTGCTGGTGCTGCTGCTGCTGCTGCTGGTGATGCCTGAGAAGCGTAGCGTGTGCACTAGGTGAAAGAACCCGCGCAGACGCTGACAGAGGGAGCAAGGGCTGGGCTTCCGGATGATCCGACGGGAGGAGGCTGTTCGGCTTCGGAGGCACCTGAGCCGAGTCATGCCCGCCATCGAAATATTTAGTGAGAATTGAAATAAGAAAAGGAATTTCGGAGCCACTTCTTCAAGCAAGCGCATTTTATTCCAAAGCATGTATTTTTTTTCTTTCAACATGAATTTTTCGCATGGTAGGCATTACTTTACTTAGGCTCAATCAGATGGCGCTCCATGTGGGGTATCTGTAGAGTAACTGTATACGCTATCTTTAGAGAGCAGAGTGGAGTATTTTTTTTTTCGAACGCCACCAGGAATTACGCACTGCGGAGAAGCTGGTATACACGCCGCACCACCAGAAGCGATTGCCGTCCATCTCAATTGATCATGTGACCGTCGTGCACTCTGTAGCCCGTTAGCTATGAAGTGGTGCTTTATTTGCTTAATATTCATGTCCTTAAGCTTCGACAGGAACCTATTTGCGTGGATTCGGCACTATTTTCAAAAACATACTAAAATAAGCAATTTCTCAAAACCTATATTTTGTGTTTGTGAACTCTTGCTTATTTTTCATAGCTGGCGTCACTTCACCATGCGGCAGCGGCGGTGCATGTTATTCGGCGCTACGCTACGCCTTTGCGCCTCGCGTTAACAGACAGTTCAAAAAATGCTTTGAAACAGTCCCGAAAGCATGTTTTTCTTATTCTTTCGCCGGTCGCTGAAACGACAGGCTCATAAACTGGCGATCGGCGGCACGCTTCGTCGATCAGCGACAGGCTTTAACAAGTTGCCTGCAAAAACATAGCGTGCCTTCGCCGCGTAACTATGGTTGCTAACCAGGCAAGATGGCGCACGTATGCGCTACTATGGTCCCGCAGGGACCATTCACAGTTAATCCAGGTATCCGTGAGACATAGTGTGATTGCAAATGGACGTCACCAAAAAACTTTCATCTCTTAGGGTCGAAGCTGCCTCAGTGTCGAGCCTTGTCCCCCCCGTCGGCTTGACATAGTACTTAGAGCGGCCAGTGCTCGCTCCTGGTGCGCAATCTTTTTTTCTTCAACAGCAAAGACAGTGAAGACAAGGCAGCGAAACCACATGCGTAGCTAAGAGCTCGAGGGCACCTTCAGCGCAGCAATGAAGACAAGTGGATCCAGAGTTGCGGGCTCGTGAAGCTGCCGTGAAATGGCAGCACCAGCAAGCTGACCTGGAGTTGACTAGCGAAGCTTCAGCGGCACGTCAACGCTGGTAAGCGGATCCGGAGGCAGTGAGAACGCGGGGAACGGCTGCAAAATGCCGCAAGTGGTCGCAACCTTAGGTTGGTGGCACCGATGCGCGATGTAAGCGCCATTTTTTCTACCATAGTTTTGCATACACCTGTGAAGTTTTCGACCGCTTGGTGTTCAACAATAACCTGACGAAGATTTCTAACATCTGGAACGAACGAACTCACGACAGTGCCGTCACCGTGCTGCAGCGAGGGTTTGCCACCGATGATGAAGCTAACAGTAGGTACATGGTTTGCTCCACTTGTAAAGATCCCTCCTTGGTGGCACGGGAAGTCCCGCAAATGAGCGTTACGTACGGCTACTGCTACCCACCAAAATCTAAAACCTTACGCGTTTTGAACCACATAAAACAAACGTAAAGAACGTTAAATGTTTCTCTGCATGGTTCAAAGTGGGTAAGTGATTCCCGTGCTTCACCGACTCCTCGTCGTTGACTTCGTGGATATTCGGTGTTTTTTTTTTCATCATCGCGGTGCATTGATATAAATTTTCAATGTGCGTTTTTACCCATTATGTGCGACAGCACCGCTGAATGTTCTCAAATGAAATTGTATTATGCATGATTTGTTATCTAAATCATAGTTAACAGCTGTTTAAATTATTAATTAAATTTTAAGGAAATTATGAAAAAAATTGTGAAAAAGAATTACATACCACCGAATTATTTAGTGTCCATGCGAAATATTTTTTCAGCTTCTTTGTACTCTCAAGAGCAAAAATAAAACGTCTGAACTAAATTATGCACTCAACTCAGCATTTCACTTTCGATTTATTCCACTTCACTTTCCATTTTATTCTAGTTCGGGCAAAAGCGCCATGAGATAAACCATTTGAAAATACATTAAACTAGAGAGGAAAGGAGTCAGGGAGATAGTGGGACCTTGTTACTAAAAGCTCGTAAAGCACTGCAAGATTCAGCCATGTAAAAAAGAAGTGCGCTTGTTCAAACGTTGTCCAGCCCACTCCCGGCTTACGAGTTAACCCTAGAGTACGTAGGTTCAATATAGAGGTGTAATTTCATGTATATATTATGCTGAGTTGGCTCCAACGTTTTCACAAGTAGAGTCTCTAAACCTCAAAAATTGCTCCCAGGCGCAGGCATAGATCCCATGTGGTTAACTATCTTTTTACCATCTAGTGAAAAAACTCTAACTGTATGTGCACCCTTTTTTCATGACGACACTTAGTATGCAGTGTTACAAATAGGTTGCTGGAAATATTACCTTACCTTGTGGGATTCACATAACTGGTCTGTTATACACTGAGTGTTAGGTAAAACGGAGTTTTAAGTAAACAATAAACTTGCTACTGAGGCACTCATTCATCTATTTTAATTACAAAGCACTCAAAGCATAAATGTTCTATTTTTGCAGACATCGTGGTCCAGTGTCCAATCCTCGGGTATAGGTAATTGGTTTCACCTTCTATAAACTCCGTAGATCTGTTGCGCACAAGCAACGTTACCCAAAAGTCTCCAGTTCCTGTGAAACTGCCCGTTGCGGCTATTTCAAAGCCACAGCAGCAGTACAAGATATAGAATTTAATTTAGTGAAGACAGATGGTACTAGCGTTACGCTGAAATGAACATGATTTGTCTTTGTCTGCATCTCCGAAAGCGTCCCAATTTTCTGATGAATTGTAGACAAAAATAGCAATAATCTCCAGATCTTGTTATTATTTTTATTACAACACTACACATCCTGGTGCAGTATCATTCGCTGCAGGCATACAAAATCACGTTTGATTGAAGGAATATCTGCATGTAGCATTTCTACTTTATGAGCACTCGGTAAGCGTCTTTGTGACGAATTCATTACAATGCTAAAATGGCCATAAGACTGACGCGAAAGCTGCCTTCATTTATGCCTTATGCAATTTGATGAAGGCGGTTTTTGTGTACGATAATAAAGCAAGCATACTGCAGATTAACACACACTGTTGTGAAACGTGTGCGAGTCCTAAGAATTAGGGTAATGCTTTTGACTTAAACTCGAAAGCAACCACTCTTCAGGATGCACCTACAAAACCGCAACGCATTAGTTTCACGTGGAGTGTGGCATTTCAAAATGAAACATTCACTGCGACTGATCTCAGAATATTTGTCTCTTTTCCTTTTCCTGAGCGAGTTTGACGTTCTTGTTTTCTCAAATCTAAAACACTTCTCGTATCTCAATCCAGCCGTCAACTCATAATTAATTATTCTTGGATTTATTTGCTTTTTGTGGTAAAGAAGTGTTACTTCTCGACGTGCTTTAACTGAAGGTATGTGATAATATGAGGGAATTTTCACAAAACGCTTAGGTTATTTACTGTAACTCCTATTCATGCTTCAACTGAGAAATCTCGCAACGTACACCGATGTGCACCTATTACCTCTAAGGTAATTAAATAATATTTCAGTATTCATGACTTGCAGCTGAATAAGTATTGCTGCCAAACATGTAGCATAACGTTATGGCGATGTAATTCCGTGCTCATATTCGTAGAAGAAAATCAACATGAAGCGAGAATACTTCAGGCATTATCTAAACAAAAGTGCGATTTCTGCCTGTAAAGCGTGCAGGGCCACATATAGATAATGTCTGTGGGGAAGCTAAACTAAAACTCGCGAAAACAACATCGAGGAAAACTGAGCAAATCTCCTTCTTGAAACTAGTACAAAATAATACTTAAAGTAAAAACAAATACGAACAACGTAATAATATAAAACAATTCATTAAAAGTTGCCTCTCCTGTATTATTGTAAATGCAAATGCAATAGTGGTAATTTTGTGACACTCTGTCAGCCGTGCGTCAAGCGCTAGAATAACTTAATTAGGTGTGGAGCTAATCAATGTGTCGAAGTGCATGTTGATGTGTGCCTTAAAAGGAATGCGCCTGATCCACACTGGCCACATGCATCGATCATCTAAAACTCATCACCTTAGCGAAAAAAAATGTTTTTAGGATTTACTACATAAAGTATTTGCAAGGACAGAAACAATTAGGCACTTCCTGGTAACACATGATATGAATTGGGACACGGACCTTGGGTGGCGCGACGGCTATACAGCCGGTGACGACCGCGGGCGTGCTCTGGTAGTCCAGGTGCTCGCATCCTCCAGCGCAAGGAGACGCCGGAGGTGGTCGCTTGAGCGTTCCACTGCCGGCCAGGATGGAGGCCGGCTGCGACGGCGGAGAACCACGACCCAGCTCGTCGCCCAGGCGCGGAGGCTGCAATAGTATAAGAGAGAGCGACAGTATAAGCCCAATGCCCAGCATACAAGTATACTTTCGCATATTTCACCCGCATAACATAAAAGCATAGTTTCGGAATTAGATACTGTCGACTGTGGCGATGCAGCGGTACGGTGCTCGGCTGCGGACTCAAAGGTCGCTGGTTCGATCCCAGTCATGGCGGTCGCATTTAGGTGGAGGTAATATGGCAGAGACCCGTGTACTGTGCCATTTAAGCGCACGTTTAAGATCGCCAGATGATCAAAATTTCCGGAGCTTTTCACTAGGCGTCTCCGATGATCATATAATAGTTTCAGGACGTTAAACTTCCAAAATAATAATATTTCAGCAATAAATACATTTGCCAGCTATTGGAAAGTGCGCCTGTTGTCTTAGCACTGACTACGAATGGCAGAAGTGAACACCAAACAAATAAAACAACAAAAAATCTCCTTGTCTAAGCCACAATCAGGTGTCGTAGTTCAGTTCTAGTGGAATCTCAAGTGGGTTCATTCTAGTATGTTTTTTTACAAAGAAATATAAATAGCCAATATAAATCTGGCCAGACCACGACATCAAGTTAACAAATTTTTGTCTACTAAAGGTATTGTGCCATATGTTAGTACAACGAAACCACACACATTGTCCTGTCTAGCGTGAAGAAGAATAATATACAAACAGCTCCATCCATGTATTGCTTCATTTTTGTTTCCAAGAAGGATCAAGATTATGCTGGCAAGTTCCCCATCGCTGCCATTACAGCGAATGCACCACGTACACTGTTTCGCACACTTAGCTTGCTGCTACTCAATGCCTTGCGTATGTTTTCTTTCGTTCGAACAGTCAATATGAATATAAAAGTGACCATAGGAAGTGCTGTTTACTGTAACTCGGTAACGTTTAATACTTATATTTAGAGCTAACGTATTACCGGAGTAATTTGACACACCTCGAACGGCCTCTTCTTTGCCTTGTCGGAGGCCCGGCCCGCCTTGTCCCGCTGGTAGTAGACGCCGGCGAAGATGAGCACGTTGAGGATGAGAAGCGAACATCCCACAGCGATGGTGACGCCCAGCGCCGTAGAGTAGCCACCCTGGGGCATGGCCATGGCCTCCGTTTGGCTGGGGTCACCGGGTGTCGTGACGCCGCCACGGCCGCCATCCTAAATGGTCGCGGGTATCGACCCAGTTTGACGCTTTCCATCACGCTTGGAATCACACGGTGTAGCTAGTTTAAAGTGAAATGCACTGAATATCTTGACTTCGATCCCTCGGTTGCTCTTCCTAATAGTGTGTTTATGTTGACGCAATAGGTTCGAGTGTGGCTTGAAATACAGACATCATGCGTAGTATAACATAAGAAATAATAAATATTGCGTCTGTGGATAACGTTCAAGAAAAAAATATTTTGCCGCAATAACTCCAACAAAGTTTCTGGGATTGTATGTCAAATAAGAATACACCTCAGATATCGGGTGATCGTTAAACAAAAACAATGCTATTCGAGTCCTGAAAAGGCTTTGAAATAATGCCTGTGTGCAAACACATTTGTTTTACATCATAAGTTCTACAAAATAAATACACCACTTAGCTCTTGAAGCAATGAGACGCCCACATATATTGGTGATATTTAAGAAGGTAAATGGTAAAAGTTATAAAAGAGTAAGTGTTACTTGAACTATTGTATCGAAAGCGTAACACTCGAAACACAAACATCACCCAGAATTGATTGTAATAAGAAGGACCGCTAAGTTCAAACCGTTTGCGGAAACTTGTGTACCCTAGGCGTAAACTTTAGTAGCCGAGATGTTGTTGCCATATTTTGACACAAACTGTTAAACACACAAGCGCAGTGCAAGTGCATGTTATTTCGCTAACCATGTGAATTTTGACTACTGAGTGTATGCAAGCACCTTTCATGCACTTTAAATTTGTACACACAAAAAAAACTCGCAGCACCACAAAAATATATCTGTAGTAAAACACTTATCTAGAATTATAAAAGCTCATATCATATCGCTACTAATATACCGTAGCCCGGTATCTGGCTGGTGCCATCACGTACTTCAATATACCTGACATGATAATACATATCAGGAAGCTACGAAATAGTGGTGCCACTAGCGAAGCTACTGGTTTTACCCTGCCTTTTTACCCACTTATCACTTTTTCTCACTCTTATCTTTCTCGCACTTTGATGCACTATACATAGGTATGTTATGCCCCACCCTCTATTTCTCTCTTCCCATTCCTCACTCGCATTTCTCTTTTCCATCTCCCTGGTATGCTATATCACACAAGGCACTGATATGCTTTCTTTCTTTCTCCCTCTTCTCATTTACATGTCCTTTTTTTTCTCTTTATCTACATTTCTCACTTCCTTGCATTCCCCTTTTTTTCCCTCTGTCTATGTTTCTCTCGTTGTATCGCCTATAGCAACCCAATCGCTCTGTCTCTTTCTCTGAGAAGACAAGCAAAGCTTTGCGAAATGGTTAATAGCAAACTTTTTCTTTTTTGTATCCACGCTCTATTGACAAACGATAAGCTACAACGGCTCTGCAGTTATTAGAGAAGATTATTAGGTCCATAGACTTCGTATGATTTGTGTTTATAAGTAGACAGAAAAGTGTACGTGATTGACAACGCCGGTTGCGACAACTGATTATTGGAGAAACTAACCACGGACACACCTCTCTTATACCTATGACCAACAAACACGTTATAATAAAGACTATAGCTTTTGTTGTTATACATCAATGCAGAAATTTGGTCTATCTGTTGGGGTCTGTCCAGTAATTGGGTCACCCGGCGAAAGTTCAAGCTCTTTCTCACCTATCTTGATCTGGTGGTGGCGTTCATACTTGTGAACTCTGTTAATCAAAAAGCAAATATTAAGTATATTTGAGGCGCAATATCGATACGTAAGTGTTATTGATTGATTGATTTGTGGGGTTTAACGTCCCAAAACCACTACTTGATTATGAGAGACGCCGTAGTGGAGGGCTACGGAAATTTTGACCACCTGGGGTTCATTAACGTGCGCCCAAATCTGAGTACACGGGCCTACAACATTTCCGCCTTCATCGGAAATGCAGCCGCCACAGCCGGGATTTGATCCCGCGACCTGCGGGTATACGTAAGTGTTAGGCAGTGTCTCTTTATGTTTACGAAATGCATAGCTACGTTATTCTTAAGACCGAAGTGCCTATATAGATTACGCCGCGTTGACAATGTGTTCCTATGAACAAAAAAGCGGGTGTTTCCTATGCTACGTGGAAAATTCCGGGGTTTTCACTAAAACGACCTAGTGCAGCCACCTACCAGTGACTCGGTGATTAAAAAAAACTTTCGTGTCTTCACATTATTGCCAGGTGGCACCATTTCTCGCGTGGCGCCTCCGGGCAGAACACTATCGTCTTTCGACGTTCTTTGCAGCGAAGCGCGGAGGTAAGTGGACAATTTTTTTTAACCTGTGTTCGACATTGACTGTGACGTAATGGCTAACTCACAGTAATAACATCATTTTTTCGGACGCTGTCATGGGTGTCAACATGTTCCTTTTCGAAAAAAAATACTCAAGAAGGTCACTATTAGCTTTGCTAGTGTTATCAAAGGAAGCGCTAATGCTGTATCTACAGACATTGACAAGTTTACGAACTAAATATAGCTGTCTATATTTATTGGCTGTGGTCAGCGTGGCAATTTGATGTCCGTTGCAATTAGAATATTGCTAACATGACAGACTAACAAACAATAGGTCGTACCTGTGCCCCTTTCCCAGCGCGCGCTCCTCCACTGGTGGTGAGCGGCCCGCCACCGCCCGAGTTCGAGTCGATGGTGGAGTGTGGCAGGGAGGGCGTGGGCGAAGGCGACATGGGAGGGGGCGGAGGCGGCACCTCGCGCACCACGCCGTCGTACGAGGCTGCGTCATCGAAGTCTTCTAGCAAGTGGTGGGAGCGGGGCACGTCCCCGCCACCCGCGCGGTGCAGCTTCGGAATCAGCTGCGTCCACACCGACAGCCGGTGCGCGTGGTAGTGGTCCCGCACCTTGGGTTTGGTGCCTGCGTGCCCCAACCCTGGTTCGGTGTCCACTATTTCGTTGCTTTAATGGGATATGCGGCCAACATTTCATAAAAAAAACTAAACGCTTCTTGCGTACACCCAAAACTAAAACTATTCATGGTGGTCATGTCTCTACACTTACGTGCAGCCACTTTGTAACAGCACCATCATAATCACCAACACCATCGCCTCATTGATTATTACTTGCGTTATTCTTTCCACGCCCACTATGCAGTAACGTCTTTCTTCACACCGAAAATTGCTTAGTTTGCATGCTGATGAACTTCCGAAAGTGAAAACAGTAATGTTGCGATAATTATTCTAAAGCTCAAACAGAAACACCATGGGGGCCATCGAGCTTGTTGAACGTTGCGTCGAATTTTCCGAGTTCACCTTGTTCGCCATGTAGAGAATGCTCTTTTGCTACGAGCTCTCGCTCATTTAAACGCTGTTCTCTACAACGGAGTGGTAGTAATTGACTGAGGCACAAGGCATTCAAAGGCCAAGCATCTTTAGTATTTCTAATTTATTCAAATACACAAAGTAGTAGTGGTGAGACAGCATAGTTCGGGAATGAAATCACGCAAGAAAGACATTGCAAACATCATCTATTGTCTGCGTGCCGAAATGTTTCTAAGAATTTTCTCAAGCCAACTCGCCTTACTTTCCATAATATTATACTGTAGACAAACTGAAGCTCAATCATCTGAAAGACGATGATGACGACGACCTACAGAAAGGCTGGTTGGCCAAATTTTTGAAACAAAAGTGTTTTATGCCGGGGTTCATCATGGCTCCGCTGACGTATTTCTGTCATAAACATGATGTAAAATATACTAGCAGATTAAAAAAAACGACAACAAAATGTTCCATCGAAAGCTGTCGAACCATCTACTTCGCGCGCTCCAGCACACGGCACAAACCACTAAACGACAGAGCGATCCGTTGCTAACGGCCAACTATTTTTATACAACATGCACCGTAGGCAGATCTGAGAGCTCAGTAACTTGAGCGCGTGTTCGTCATCAGCAGCGAGTAGTCGTGAGAAGAGCCCGTAGGGCACGCGTGCTCTAAAGGTCGTTGCCGCGCACATCGCTCACGTGCGCGTGCGCTTATCTCAGGATTTGTGCGGTTTGTACCCAAGTTTGTACTTCTGGTGCTTTCTCTGCAAGTTTGCTTTGAAGTTACAGCGGTTAAGCAAAGCACGAAGGTCACTTCACTCGCTGCCGCGGCAGCGTTTACGAAAGGAGCACGCTGCTCATACACGAAAAAGTAATAATTATGAGAGTTGTTGGCGCTTGCCTTGTGTAAAATATACTTGTGCGTTCGTTTTTTGCCGTCTTTATTTCTGTTTGAACAGCGTGCTTTAAGTGTCGAGCTGGGACAGTTGTTATCCCGTGCTGGTCCTGTGTATGCTCCTTGCGTGCTTTCGGTTTGAGGTGCGCGCAGTAAGTTTCCAGCTGCTTGCCTTTCCTTGCCGAACATTGTAATTTGTTCTTTTAGCACTCATTCTTTCACAATGCGCAATAAACGCTCAACTACCTATGTAAACCTCATGTCACCTTTGTGTTTTACCGATTCCTAGAAAGAGGAATCAGCTACATTTTTTTCATCTATGCATGCTTCTTATCGCATCCCAAGCTACCAAACACATTCATTGTCGCCTCGTAAACTACGTGTTATCAAAACTCGGAGTTCTTCTTTCTTTTTTGAAAACGCACGTTTTCTTGCATGCCACTTAACAAGTTCTATGTAATAGTTTTGAATTTAAAGGAACGGGCCACAACTTTTTTTCTGCCCAGTTTCTTAAGACTCCAAAGAAAATTCTCATGCAGTAGGGGTCATGGGCAATTTGTACACAGAAATGTTTGTACCAAGTAGCCACTAAAATTTTCGAGTGACTACTCCAGCAAAGCTGCGAAGCAATAGCAGAACCGATAGTGCTTTTCGCGAACTCCTCATTGCGGTTGAGCTTCTTCTTCCATACGGGTTAATGCAATAACTGTGGTTAACTGCTGTCAAGCTGATATTTTCAACCGTTTTCGAAGATGAAAAGCACTTAAAATGAGTTTTTTCGAAGCTCGTTATCGCACTACGTTTATTTACCGAATTGCGAGCAAGGTACTCATTACACTTGTGATTATCTCCAGCAATACCTATATCATCACGGAAGTCACGACTTACTCTTCATCCTTCTCCAACTTCTAGGCAGGTGTTTCTAGATCCTCAGTCAACAAAGCACATGCTGCCCATCATGAGCATCGGATCATACGTGAAGCGAAAGTGACGTCACTGTTTTTGCCACTGTCAAAAAAAGGCCTATCAGCAGGTTTTGTTCAGAGTTTTAAAATTATAACAAAAGCAGTGCACTGATCTTAAAAGAAAAAGTCAATGACAATTAACAACGTACAAGTGTAAATGGTGACGTGACACGGAGCTTAGGCGTCTTCACTTGTTTGCTACCTGGGTGCCAAGAGTGTTTTTTGTGTTTTAGTGGAAAAATCATAGTATAAATCCGCATTTCACGAGAAAGACGGTGTTTATTCCATCCAATACAATGCAAAGTTATTTCCTCAGTCAGGTCAATTCAATTCATGTACTGGGTGGTTTTCTCTCTTTAAAGCCAGCATTCAGCATCAACCTTTCTGTTTGTTCTACACTCGGCTGACGAACTTGCGAAATATGATCCTAACGCTATCTAGCAACTCGTGGAGAAGCCCACGCTTCCAAAGTTTATTGCTGCAAACTCACAACTTCTTTAGGCAGATCAAATTTTAACCTACTCCTAGGCTGCCACGTGTGAACACAGACGTACAGACAATCGAAGGAAATTTATTGTTCGAGCGTATGTTTGAAAAAAAAGTAGTAATGCATAAGCGCTTTCACGCTTCCTTTACCCGAAGTTGCGGTTGACGGCCAGCTAACAATGAGCGCCAGTGAAATTCTAGTTGAACTTCCCTTGGATTTTCAACGCCCGCGTGCCGAAACTGACATTCAATGACGCTTCAAATTTCAAATGCTCGAGGCACGATGTATGCACATGCAGCACCCACTTGAGCGTATTGGTACAATACGCGTAACTAGTGTTATTGAAATTCGAGCACTCCCGAAAAGTCTCGGGAAACAGGATAAACAGCATGCGCGCAGGTTTATCTATGAAGGGAATGCGGCGCTGCACAAACCTAAACCCTCTTTTAAAAGTAGTTTACGCCTCGTCATTTATTTTTTCTTATGAAGAAAGCAACTCAGAAACTAAGAGGTTCTAAACCTTTATATCTAAGTTATATATACTTTAATGCTTGTTAGAGATCAGTCTTGTTCATTATTATCGACATTTCAAAACCTGGCAGTGACTGTACAATGCATACAAGGAGTTCTGTTCTTCCTCAAAAGTATCTATTGCTGGCATTCATATCAGCTGAAGTATTGCTTCGTTCTTGAAGGCTTTTTCCCTCCAAGTGCACTTATTATTCCTTTGTACTCTTTTGGACATGACTCTAATGTTGATGTATCTACCCCCTCCTCTAGTTACATAGTAGGGTGGCGCAAAATCTACACAGTAGACTGACTAAGTTGGAAGGAAGGATTGAGATCAACCTCTGCCCCCTCACCCCTGATAGCAAGCCCTGCGCTCGCCTTGGGCAAAGAGCATGGTACCATGGTACTAGTCATCTGAATTGAAGTTAGAAGCAACGTGATGTTATGGCAATATTATTCGCTTATTTACAGGAATTTGGAAAGCAACGTTGTACGAAGAAGAAATTTTCATGCGTTGTCGTAAGCGATGATTGCGCGTAAAACTGTCGAGCAATGGGCAATTCAAGGAGATCGTTTCAAAGTGACGCTTACCTAGAGTGAGGTACTTTTGATGCACAGGATCATAGGCAGGCCAGCCGACTTTTTCTCCACGCCCACCTTTGCTGCGTTCGATTTCTGTTTCTGTGGTAGTGAAGTTTGGTGAACTGCACAGTTAAGCAACAAAATATCAAGAACTGCTTGCCAGCATCTGAAGACGGTTTCAGAGATCTCGGTAGAGCCTCTAATACAGGCAATTGACCCCTTTCTGACTGTCCCAGCGCGAAATCTCTAGCGAAATGGTCATTGCTCGAAGGTTCGCTCTTTTTTTTTTTGCCGCAAAGCAATTGTGCTCTCACCGCCCATCATCATAATGTAATTACGGGGCAAACACAAAATTTATGCGACAACACAGGCGACAATGTGTCTTGCGAAGTGTACAGCTACGGCTACGTCTGCGTAGAGCGCGCAAGCCGCCGGTTTCCGCTCTGCTGGGCGACACCTTAAGGCATTCTCGCACTCTGACGAGGTGCGTCAAGAGCACGCGCAAACCACGTCAGAACCGCAAACTTCCCCAAGGTCGTCGCCCCGCCGAGGAAAAAAAAATCGGTTGCTCGCGCACTCTACACCACCGTGAACTTGGCTGTACATACCTGCCGGTAGACGCTCCTGTTGTCCGCGGGCTTTTATGTAATTCGCAGAAATTCTGAACGCCTTCTTGCTCAAGCAAGGCTTTGGGTCTGCCTTTCACACGTTTGCTGCATCCGCTTGGTTAGTCTTTTTGACGAATAAAAAGTGCTAGTCTCGGTATGCAAGTACGCATGTCAGTATAGGACTAATCCTAATACAAGGACTTTTCTGTGCACTAGCTATTCAAGACAGCAGCAACAAGCAAACCAGCAGAGGAAACGATAGTGATAATCATAGTCCGAGATAATGACCTTGATGATTATGATGACGATGATGATGACGACGATAGCGATGGCAGTAGCAACAAATGTGTTCAGCTAGATGCTTTTGAATAGAAAGCTAAAGTGCTTGACGTTTTCTTCTGAGGCTTTATTTCACCATTTCACTCTCCTTCAATTACTTCTTGCTGGCTCTTGATTCCCGAGCAGACAGAGCGTCCTCAAATCCTGCCATTGTGTGCTGCGCCTTACGATGTGCGTGCGTGCATGTGTGTGTGTGTGTGTGTGTGTGTGTGTGTGCGTGTGCGTGTGCGTGTGCGTGCGTGCGTGTGTGTGTGTGTGTTTGTGTGTGTGTGTGTGTGTGTGTGTAACCTATTTTTAATTGGTAGCTGCTACCCTAACAAACCATGAAGCCATCCACTGCGATTTACTCTGAACAATCAACACCACTATCATAAAGAATGTACCGGCGCCGGAGGGTATGTTTTATGTGCAAAAAATCAAAAGTAGTTGTATATAACGTAAACACGTGACACAAGAAGCATTTTTCCTGGCTATCAACGGTACTTTATCTAACAAAAAACAAGACTTCCACTACACAAGACAAAATGAAATAAAATCTCACTTTATGGAGCAGTTTGAAAGAGGCCTTATGACGTCTAAACCGACATGACAAGAAGAACTTCATCCTTGACTGTGTTTTTCGTTTATATTCAGAACAACAGGTTCGCTTTAACGCCATCAGCAGCTCGACAGATCCAATATCGGTCCACTTTAGTACACGAAATAGCGACCAATAAGCACGAATATGACAGGCAGTTTTTTTTATCTGAGAGTCTAACTGGGAACGCAACAAAAACAAAGAATTCGGTATGGTAAATATGAAGCATTATTTAGTAGTACTCGCCTACTTCTTAGGGCTCTTGTCTCTTTAAAAGCTCCTCTACAAGCGTCATGTTGAGGAAATGCCGATTATAGTTGTAGTATTAGCAATGCGCTTTAACGAAAGCGCAATAAACATAACATCTATGAGTCTGCATGTTACTGTCAAATATTGTTGAAGTATACCAATGGCCTGCTGCTTTTGATATGCACGCTATCACACCGTAGTGTGGACATTGTTGCGATTAAAATGACGTTGGTGCTGGAGTGCTGATAGTAGGTCGGACTCTGAGCCGCCCTTTACACGTCGGTGCGGGCGACGTGCCGCGCAGCTATACTCGATTGACACAATGACATCTATGTACAGCGTAACGCTTGGCTCAAGGGGAGAAGCGTGGCGTCGGTTTCTACTTCTAATACCTTCGTATGAAATCAATTTTCGCATTTCGTGGGATCTGTCTCAACTTTTCACACACTTGCTCGCACATGCAAGATACACTGGTATATTATCTCTAGCATTTCGCTTCAACTGCCATCACTCTTGCAAAGTATGAGCCAGTTGTGGCTGGGATTTTCACTGATGCAGCAACCACCAATGTTACTTTAACTAGCACGTTCTATTTTAATGGGCCAAAATAATAATGATAGCGAAGAAAACCACTTTACAGAAGTCAGCCTGCCTGCATTGTTTATTTATTATGCATGCTAGTTATTCATGATATATAATCGCTGCGTATCCCATAACTGCGCTTTGATTTGTTTGTTATTTCACCGAAGAAAACTCTCGGAAATTTAACCCTACAACAAGAGCGCCTGGCCTGTGCGAATATTACAGCACAGCCTTAGGATAAGCTGGAAGAGCGACAATTCTAGAACCCATTGTAAATATCTTGTGGCTACTGACACTCTATAAATCAAAATTCTCGTCAAATCGCGAAGCACACGCTAAGCCGTTGTATTTATTTATTGAAAACTCACGGAAAATAACCTATACAATGAAAATATTAAGATTGTTCAGTCCCTAAACCACAATATTATAATACGAAACATTGTAGTGAAGGGCTCCTGAAATTAAACCATCTTCGGTTCTGTAACGGGCATTGAAATGACCCTCTATCACGTCACCTTCATTTATATGCGACAGCTGCGGCCGCGACCAAGCCCGCTAACTTGCAGTCAGCAGCCGGGGAGCGTAATGACTAGACCACCATGGTGACGTAAATTATATATATATATATATATATATATATATATATATATATATATATATATTTATATATACACACACACACATATATATATATATATATATATATATATATATCCCAATTGAAAAAACGTCCACTATTTTGGTGGATTATGGCAGTGGAAATGTTGGTGGCATGGCACATGGTGGAGCGTATGGTGGATGGCGCGCTCCAGCCGGCAACGGTGGAGCGCGAAGCACCGTCAGAACCACCGTGCCAAGCTGCCAATAAAGAAATAATAAACAGTATTGTATAAAATAATGTATCAGGCACCCCGTAAAAAAAAAGCTGCGCCAGCGTGGCATCGCACCTGACACCTCCAAGTTTCGAACTCAGCACAATAATCACTGCGCCACGCCGACAGATGCCGTTTTCTCTGCTAAAGAAGTTCTAATGGCCGACAGCAAGGTAGATTTGCAGAGATTGGTGGAATTCTGCGGTAATGATTGATATGTGAGGTTTAACGTCCCAAAACCACCATTTGATTATGAGAGACGCCGTAGTGGAGGGCTCCGGAAATTTCGACCACCTGGGGTTCTTTAACGTGCACCCAAATCTGAGCACACGGGCCTACAACATTTCCGCCTCCATCGGAAATGCAGCCGCCGCAGCCGGGAATCGAACCCGCGACCTGCGGGTCAGCAGCCGAGTATCTTAGCCACTAGACCACCGCGGCGGGGCATTCTGCGGTAATGAGGGAGATGGGTTAACTTTCAGATTCAGTAAGGAAAAATCAGCAGTCATTATTTCTAATGACAATGAAGGTAGTGAGCTTAGAATACAGGAGGTCACGCTAGAGATAGATAAATACAAATATCTGGGCGCATGCATAAGCAATGGGGCCGAGTACCTAAGGGAACACGAAATATACGCGTCGATTAAAGGTAACAGGAATGCAGCGGTAATGAAAAACAGGGCACTGTGGAATTACAATAGGTATCATGTTGTGAGAGGAATATGGAAAGGGGTCATGGTTCCTGGTCTGACGTTCGGCAATGCGGTCTTGTGCATGAGATCAGAAGTTCAAGCAAGATTAGAAATTAAGCAACGTGCAATAGGTAAGCTTGCCTTAGGAGCTCACGGGAATACACCAAATCAGGGAGTACGTGGTAATATGGGAAGGACATCATTTCAGGGCAGGGAAGCTAGCAGCAAGATATAATTTGAGAAGCGATTGAGAGAAATGGGGGAGGAGCGTTGGGCTAGGAAGGTATTCAGCTACTTGTACATGATGCATGTCGATACAAAAGGGAGGAAGCGAACCAGAAAATTGACTGGTAAATACTTGCAAAACGGCAGGGGGCCAAACCAAAAAGAATTATCGGTTAAGAAGAAGGTGAAGGAAGCTGAGACCGATATGTGGATAAATGGCATGATTAAGAAGTCGGCACTAGAGATCTATTGAACTTTTAAGCAGAAAATTGCCAAGGAAAGGATCTATTATAATACTCGGGGTAGTTCCCTACTGTTTGAGGCCAGGACGGGAGTATTGCGAACCAAGACATATCGTGCCAAATACGAAGGGTTAGGCACGGTATGCAGTGCGTGTGGAGAGGAAGAGGAAACTGCCGAACATTTAATATTGTTCTGTAAAGGGCTTCACCCTATAGTTCAGGATGATGGCGCAGGGTTTTTCAAAGCACTGGGGTTTAGAGACAGTGAGGGCAAAATAGACCTTAAGCGGGTAGGATTAACTAGAAGGAGGTTATCTGATTTGTGGCTAAAGTTCAGCCACAAGTGAAAATTAAACCCTTCACTGCAAAGTACGAATCCTCATCCTCACTATTCCACCCACCCACCCACCCACCCACCCACCCACCCACCCACCCACCCGTCCGTCCGTCCGTCCGTCCGTCCGTCCATCCATCCATCCATCCATCCATCCATCCATCCATCCATCCATCCAAGTAGTCAACTCAGAAAGTCACTGTTTAACTTCAGTTTTGTTTGTCGTTTACTGGGAGGGACGGGATCTGCACCTGCTACTAAACTTTGCACATTTGATAAACACGAACAACTGCTGTTTGTAACGATTGCCACTGCGATAATGGCAACGGCGCTATGTTTTTGTTACAATTTACAACCGCAAAGAAAAAAACAACTCATTGGACTGAGGAGCAGATAGAGTTT